ATGTACAAATTCGCAAAAAAAAATTAAAAAGATATCTGCACCCAACCAATTCACCACGCAGCAGCAGCAGCAGGAGCAGCAGCAGCAACAGCAGCAACAGCAGCAGCAGAAGCAGAAGCAACAGCAGCAGCAACAGCAAAAGCAGCAACCGCAGCAGCAACCGCAGCACAAACTCGTGTTGCATCTGTTGCTCCTATTCATGGATGGGGTTCTACCCACAGCAGCAGCAGCAGCAGCAGCAGCAGAAGCAGCAGCAACAGCAGCAGCAGCAGAAGCAGCAGCAACAGCAGCAGCAGCAGAAGCAGCAGCAACAGCAGCAGCAGAAGCAACAGCAACAGCAGCAGCAGCAGCAGCAGCTGCTGCTGCTGCTGCTATCTCCGTCCCGTTGCTGACAGCGAACCCCGACGGGTTTAGGGTTTAGGGTTTAGGGTTTAGGGTTTATGTATTTCACCTTGTTGTGCTGCAGCATAAGAATAAATATTTTGTTTAAGATATTCTGCTGCTGCTAGCCATCCCCCCACCATCATTTTGTGCTGCCAGCAGTGAAAGTTTCGGTTGTCTTGCTGCTGCAGCAGCAGCTTGCATGCATGCAGCTCCTGCTGCAGCACAGATATACACTCATCGATACACGAAACTAATACACTCTTATCAATACTTTGCTGCTGCTGCTGCTGCTCCTGCTGCTGCTGCTGTTGCTGCTGCTGCTGCTGCTGATCCTGCTGCTGCTGCTCCTGCTGCTGGTGCTGGTGCTGCTGCTGCTGATCCTGCTGATACTCCCCATCTTGTTTCTCCTGCTGCTGCTCCTTCTGCTGCTGCTGCTTCTGCTGCTGCTGCTGCTGCTGTTCTGTTTCTGTGTGCTGCAGCAGCGGCAGCAGCAGCAGCTCGATTTGCTTCGCCAGCACCCAGCTGCGGTGCAGCCACAAACAGTAGGCCTTGCTCTTGCCTCTGCAAATTAAACAACTCGTCAGCTGCAGCTCCTGCTGCAGCAACGAAGACAAAGATATACTATCGACCCCTGACCTGCTGCTGCTGCTGCTGCTGCTGTTGCTGCTGCTGCTGCTGTTGATGATGATGATGTCGCTGCTGCGGCGGCTCTTGTCGATTCTGGTGCTGATGTTGTTGCTGCTGCTGTTGCTGCTGCTGCTGCTGCTGTCGTTATTTGCTTCTGTCTTGGTGCTATCCGAGTGCGGCGTATCTTGTTGGGTGTCGTTGTTTTGCTGCTGCTGTTTGCTGCTGCTGCTGCTGCTGCTGCTGCTGCTGCTGCTGCAGCTGCTGCTGCAGCAGCTGCTGATGATTTCTTTTCTGTAATTCCATAGAGGAGCCAGCTCGGAGTGAAACTCCAGCAGCGTGCGTGTGGCCCGCAGGGCCTCAGGTGTACGTACACCCGAGCACCGCTGCTGCAGCAGCCGCTGCAGCAAAGCGAAAGCCAACCGAACCTTCTGCCGCTGCTCTTCTTGCTTCTCAGGAGAAAGCACTGGCAGCTGGTCTCGCCGCCGCCCGTGCATCTTTCTTCTTGCTGCTGCTCCTGCTGCTGCTGCTGCTGCTGCTGCTGTTGTTGCTGCTGTTGCTGCTGTTGCTGCTGCTGCTGCTGCGGCTGCTCCTCCTGCTGCTGCTGCTGCTGGGGATTGTTATTATTATTGTTGTGTTATTGTTGTTGCTGTTGTTATGGGGCTGATCCTTTTGCTGTTGATGCTGCTGCTGCTGCTGATGTTTGTGTTGCTGCTGGTGTATATACTGCAGCAGATTGTGTTGCAGCTGTATTTGTGTATGTGCTGCTGGTGCTGCTGCTGCTGCTGCTGCTGCTGCTGCTGTTGTTGTTTCTGCTGTTTTTATCTTAAAATGCTGCTCTTTTTTAAAAGTAAATTCATAAAAGTAAAAAGAAAAAAATTTATTTTCTGAAATTTCGCTAAGAGCCGCAGAGAAGCAGAGCTGCTGTGTTGTATCGAGTGGTGCTGCATCCGGCCTCATTCCTGTGCTGTATATACACTTTAAACTGTCTATACACCGCAAATAAATCAATTAAAATTCATTTTTTAATTCTTTTTCGCAAATACAAACAATATTCGTGCTAGACACAGAAGGGTAGGCAACATGCTGGGGGGGCCCCCAGCAATCCTCGAGCACACTGGTTAGGGGGGCCCCCCTCCGTCTTCCTTCACGTTTTGTTGCAAATGAGGGCTTAAATTTATTTATTATATTTTATTTAAACAAATAAAATTAAATTGATTTATTTAAAGTTTTAAATTTTTCTAAAAGTCGATGTTTTGGTGGGGAGAGGAGCCCGCTGCCGTCGTCGGTCACCTGAGGTGTATAGGCAGCTGGGGTGTATATGCAGCTCCTCTTCTTTAACAATAAAAGATATTGTTTATATAAAAATACAATTAAAAAACAAAATAAAATATTAAATAATATTTATATAATACCATTTCATCTCTTACACTAGCACGCATAGTCGGCGGCTCTGTAGCCCCCCCCTTTCTTTGCCTTTATCAGCAGCAACCAAGCAAAAACAAACATTTTTTTATTTTATTTAGAACTAAAAAACATGCAACTAATAAAACTTTTTTAATTTATTATTAATTTATATTTATTTTGCTGTACATGCAGGGGGGCTGGCGTGTATACACCCCCAGCGAGCTCTGCTTAGGTTGTTTCTCCCCCCCCCCCCCCCCCC